AGATCAGGACCAGGGTCAGGGTCAGGACCAGGACCAGGGTCAGGGTCAGGACCAGGACCAGGACCAGGACCAGAACCAGGACCAGAACCAGGACCAGAGAAAGGACCAGGATCAGACCCGGCCTTCCATCCGGTTTCTGACACCCTGAGGGGCTCTGGGAGGTTCCGCTGCTTTTTATGGTAATTTCAGCCTCGTTTTTAACAGAATCTTTGGTCCTTTTTAAATTTGTTTTTCTTTTTTGGCTTTGTTCTGGTCTTTTTAGCTCTAACTTGTTTTGAACATATCCAAACAAAAACCCTGAAAGAGCTCAGAAGACTTTTGAAACTAATATTTTTGCTTCTGATCCACTTTAAGCTGCTGCTCTGCTGTAGGACACAGAGTGGCTCAGCCCTTGAGTTAGGGGCCTTTTAAAAAAGCCTGGAGAAGCATTCAGGACCTCTTCAGAAGGTTCAAGGAGAGAAATTAAAGCTGATATGGAGTTTGGAGTTTTGCACCTACCAGCCAAAATGCGTCCAGGTGGTCTCAGAGAAGCTGATGATCAACCCACAGCCGAAAGTAGCCCCCAGGAAACAGGCCCTCACCGCCACCTGCGGGGAAAAGGGTCAGGAAAACCAGGTTTATTTCCACACATCAACCACAGCCAGAGGTCTGCAGGGGTCTGAACACCTCCCACAAACTCTGTCTAAAGGAGATACTAAAGGGGAGGAAAACGCACATTTCCTGATAGGATAAGTCACATAAAATGCACATTTCCTGACAGGATAAATTACATAAAATGCTGATTTCCTGACAGGATAAACGACATAAAATGCACATTTCCTGACAGGATAAATGACATAAAATGCACATTTCCTGACAGGATAAATGTAATAAAATGCACATTTTCTGACAGGATAAATTACATAAAATGCACATTTCCTGACAGGATAACTGACATAAAACACACATTTCCTGACAGGATAAATGACATAAAACACACATTTCCTGACAGGATAAATGACATAAAACACACACTTCCTGACAGGATAAATAATATAAAACACACATTTTCTGACAGGATAAACCACATAAAATGCTCATTTACTAATAGGATAAATCATATAAAACACACACTTCCTGACAGCATAAGTCACATAAAATGCACATTTCCTGACAGCATAAGTCACGTGACCCGGGAGGAAGCCTCCCGGCTTTTCTGGGCTTAAGTTTCTATCCCGGGCTCTTAAAGCCTACAGCCTGCTCAGATAATGGGATTAACCCCTGAACAGGAGCTAGCAAGCTAGCCGAGTTAGTTAGCTAACACGGTCTAACGAAGGAAACGAGCTTTTATTACACATTAGGACACAAACACGGACACTACCAGACCCTTTAAAGGGATAAAAACGGGACTAGACTAAAGCCGGAAGGCTGTGTACCTTGTAAAGAGGTCCTCTGTACACCAGCAGCAAGAGGCCGTTAATGGCCGCTATATGGACACAAATGGCTATTTTCCCGGAGGTTTCTGTCAGATAATCGAAGACCCAGTCCAGGTGTCCGAACCAGGTCCGGATGAGCGGGATCAGCAGCACGCTGAGCCCCAAAGCGAAGCTCTTTAGACTCACTCTGCCTTCCAGAACCAACTTACTGCCTGCCATGATGGAAGTTCCGCGATGGGCCAAAGAACTATCGCGATAGTTAGACCCAACTCTCGTGATTCCCTCTCAGACGGAGCGCTGCGTTCAAGGACACCGGACATAGCAGCTCTATACCATTAACTAACCAAATAAAGATCACCGTGACTTCTTGATACTAAAAAAGAACCTCATAAGTTGTTTATATAATGTAGGGAACGAAATCAAAGATTAAAACGATACTTAAATGTAAAAAAGAAAATAAATCTGAAACTATCTAACTAGCCAAATAAAGATCACCGTGAGTTCTTAATGCAAAAAAAAACCTCATAAGTTGTTTATATAATGTAGGGAACGAAATAAAAGATTAAAACAATATTTAAATGTAAAAAATTAATCAGAAACTATCTAACTAACCAAATAAAGATCTCCATGACTTCTTGATACTAAAAAACAACTACTCATAAGTTGTTTATATAATGTAGGGAACAAAATCAAGATTAAAAGAATATTTAAATACATTTTTTAAAATCTGAAACTATCTTATCTCAGGTTTTACAACAGATCAAAGATGTTGTTCATACACCTGTTGGGTAGAAATGAATAAAAGTGGCATCTAAGTTGTGTTTGAAGACATAAAACAGTTTATAATCGGTTTACTGACCTAATTTTTTAGCGTTTTAGTGAACATAGACAGAGGAATGTAAATTCTAACACTCAAATGCATCAAATAGAAATAACCTCTAAAAAGGATAAATGTTTGTTTTTCCCAGGAGAAACTGGAAGTTTCATTCACAGATCAATACAGAAACAGGAGCAATGACAAGAATTTTTTCAATTTAGTTCAGTAAAAAAGAACAAGAAGAATTTTATTACACATTAAATAGATCAGAAATATTTACAGTCACACCTCATGTTCAGTGAAATGTTTACATAAAGATGTCACCTGAAGGCCTACCGGACAGGCTGCTGTTTTAAAAACATAATATTTATGATCCTTCGTTTAGCATCGAGCCTCCATCTTTAATCGGAGGACGTGAGTCATGATACTGAAGTTCCTCCACAGATGCTGAGGAGAAACTTTCCCTTCTGTCCAATTTGAGGAAAAACAAACTCATAATCGAACAGAAAATTCTGCTCCAATCGATCTTTTCTGAACCAGCAGAGAAGCT